GGCCGCCAGACCTCACCCCACTTGATTTTTTTTGTGGGGCTACTTGAAACAACAGGTTCATGACTCGCCAATTGTGAATATAGGAGGAATGAAAGGGAACATCACAAATTTATGCGCACAAATTGATCGCAACGTGATACATAGGGTCACAATAAACGTTATCAAAAGAGCTAGGAAATGTTTACAGCAGTATGAACGATATATTGAGCAGTTAAGGTTTCAATCATTCTTGTTTCATTCGATTGATTGCAACGTGTTATATTAATAAAATCTAATCATATAAATTTTTAATTGAATCGTTTTTTTTTGCATATCTTTGTAGTCGTTTGGAGAAAATCCCATCAGATCCGGCATTGTTGAATTTGTAATAATAAACTCTACTTGAATATAGAACGATATACTGGGCGTCCCAATTCGAAGGGGAAAATTTAGGTGCACTTTGGTGTCACCCTGTATACCTACGATTCATTCAATTGCATATTTTGAAGGAGCATCATCAAATATACTGGGTGATCTGTCAAGTCATTCGATCGCGCGGTTGATTTTGTACACAGGGGGAGGGGGGGAAATTTTAGCTGGGACACGGTGTATAGTTGAACTATATGATGAATAATCGTATTTTCCGCCTCCTGTAGAATCCACCAAATAAAAATTGAATCTTTCGAGAGGTACTGTACGAATGTGTTCATTTATTCAGGCATATATTCATTTTGTTATCAACTATTTATTTTCCTAATAGGATTGAAAGCATATTATCTCCTATTCAACTCAACGTACTCACCCATTTGTGAAAAAAAATTGAACACACATCTCCATATCCTTATTTTTGACATACACTCAAATTGCAATGATGAACACCAATGAGTTTTATCGATTCCGATTTAGTTTAGTGTCACAATAGATTGTTCATGCCTTTGCCAAAACTGACAAAATTCAAGAAGTTTGTCGTGACAAATCACGAAATGTAAAGAATTTAAAAATAACTATCATCACAATAATTGTCTTGAAAGGATGATGTCTACTCTGGTATTTGACGGAGAAGGGGGGGTTCTCGAGCACCAGATTGTTTTTGAGGTAGTTTACTCTACCTGCTCTGCACAGTATAGTTTTGTACAGAGGCCCAAAGTAGCAACAGTGGAGAAAGGTACAGGAGGTATCCCTACCTCGGTACCTACAGTATAAACCAGTGGTCAATGATATTGAATCGATGTGGAATCAGCCAAGGGAGTGTAGGCTTTGATTACAAACCCTGAATTTAGCCGGTAATACTGATTGCTATTTCTAGGCTGGATAATTACAGGAATCGAAACACATATCTTTCGAGACTCTCCGGTATTTTGAGGTTAGGTCGGAAAAATTATTTATTTAAACTATTTCATCATTTCTACCTGGAGAATCGGAAACACAAATCCATATGAATCAAACAGATTTGATTCCTTTTCATCTTTCATTTTCCTTCGATTTTCCAATTTTTTGATATCGGAATTTCAGTGAGGTTAATTATATTTTTCAATTCTTGTCAAAATTTCATGAACCACAGAACATGCACCGCCTGACGGGACTCAAAACACAGAGACACCGGTGTACAGGACTGGATGTCTCAAGGAAAAGAAAAAGAAAAAGAATTGACCACTGGCTTGCCATTGTCAGCCGTCACCGTCAGCCGTCAGTCAATAGGCAATTTGACAAATGAAAATATTGAAAATCACTAAATGAATAATTGCACTCTTTGGAACTGGAAACAATGACAATCAAGAAAGAAATATGGAATATGCAATCACAAAATCCGTTTATTCGCAAATTCAAAGTTCTGGTTTCTTTACACAGGTCGGGTGAGTATCGGTATGCAAAACAACAGGGATGAAATCTATGAACAGGATGAATAACAATGGTGAAAAACTATACAAACTTACATGTGTAACACGAAATCACTATACAATAATACTTTACACTGGTTTTGAATGAACTATGAGAGCACTAAGAAATCAGCAAGAGAATCAGATGCTTGAAGAGCAGGTCGAGCAGGTAGTGCAGACTTGTAGAGGAGAGAAGAGAGACCCGAGACCTTGGCTGTCTTCAGTATATATACACTGCTTTAGCCTTGGCACAAGGACAAGTAAATCTGGAATCTCATTGGTCAAAACTCCCACCTTGTCATGGCTCATGGCCATGGCCACTAAATCTGTCCTTGGAACGCACATGTGCACCTCCAACACAAAACGCGGAAAAAATAATATTCAACCCTAAATGGGCACAGGAACAGGATCTACTACCTTCGCTTATGCTACTGGCTGAATTTGGCTGGAAAATAATCAATAACAACAAAGTAATGATCAGTCAAACATTCATCATTTCAACTGATAAATAATTCAATCGAATTTCATATCATAAGCAAAGGGTTGAAAAATAATGAAGTCTCTAGGGTTGTAATGATGTTCATCAGAGTTCACTGTCAGGAAAAGCTGTGGGAAGTCAGGAATCAATGCATTACTCATCTCTCTCAGGTTTTCAGGTTTCGAGCTTTCGAAGAGGTGAAATTCAGCTAGAATCAGGATCAGGTACTTAGATTTTGATCAAAACCAGTCTAGTAATGAGGCTGGTCAGAAACACTTCATTACAACCGCAGATATCAAAAGAGATATCTATATCCTACGTTCACAACCAATTTGAATCACTCTCAAGAGCATATTATTATGGAATCGACAGTCAAAACTTCCATATTCCATCCAAATGTAGCCAAAAATGAATAATCAGGTGGAGAATTGTATGACGCATGCGCTTCTCAACGAATCAAATAGGCTACCAATTACTGTTCAGTTGGTTCATATCTACCAGAGCAATGTTGATAAGTGGGAAATTAACGACAGTCTCAGGCCAAATAGACAATCTATTCAATTCTAATAGGTGCGTTCTGGGCAATGTCAACCTCTTACGGTAGATGGATTGCTATTTGTTTGGAATGGAAAGGTCTTATTGGAACCAATAAATGCGAATGTATTTCCAGGAAGAAATCGATATCGTTCCAGTCTAGAAAAAAATACTTAGCAAAATGACTGTAGGTGTATTTGTTTGTGAATTTGTTCCAAGTATATTAGTCAGTAAGTATGTACAGATAAATACTGACTACACTGCGCTTGTCTATGGTTGGGTTCTTGATAAATATAATTTCTCTAGTTTGGACCTGTGATTTGACACTTCCCTAGACTAATTGAAGTTTTGAAACGTCTCACTCAACAAAATCAGTTTTCCACCAAAGAAGTTGAATGACTTCGAATTTGGCAACCGTGGTGTCGAACAGTTGTGTAAAACTCTTGATGGTGCATTCAAAAATGCAATGAAAAACAGGGTCACCTATAAAAAAAACTGATTATGACCCAATATCTTGGAAATCGAACATCCTATGAATATGAAAATATATTCAGGGTATTGTCCTCATGAAACCCTAAAACTACAGTATTCGTTTTTTTCTATACATATATCGGACGGTTTGGCTAATATCGAAGGAGGACTCACTATTGACTAACCTGATATTGAGTTCCATTCGAAGTTCTCAACCAAGATCTATATTTGATAAAACCAGAAAAAATATCTAATCGTTCTTGCATAGAGAATATGGGTGTTGAGAAACTGTATCTTCGATCCAAACGTCAGAAGTCTGACATGAAAAACAACCGAATGTCGTCCTGTCCGACGATTTCGTTGTCACTCGGTATATAATGGTGCCTTTCCTCTAAGAATGATGTGTGCGTGTGTGTGTGTTCTGATCAAGTTACTCAATTCCGCTAGAGTAAATACAGTTTTCTGCGTTCCGAACCATTACACCAGGAAAAGATGTAAGCAAAAGTCAAAGTTCAGGATTAACCTTTATCGAAAAATCTATCACTCCAGTGAACTCCAAATTAGGCTTTCAAATGTATTCAAACATGCTATCTTCAAATATCAACACATTGTGTAGAAACTAGGTCAATTGAAACTCGCTGAATGCATTCACGAAATTTACGAAGCAATTCAATCTGAAAGTTCCCGAATAACAATTAGTTCAGGGAAATCAACAATGTAACACCTTCGATTATTTTGAGAGTCTCTATGTGGAACGTGGAAACGTAGAAACGTAGAAATATACATGATGAATCAAGAAAACCATCCATTCTCAAGTTGGTCTAGTGATTTTAGGGGAAAACAAGTGAACTCAAAGTCGGACGACCACAAAATTTAATGACACCAAAGTATGGGACAATATTTCTGGCACTTCGGCCGTCTCCAGACACAATAAAGAATGTACCTATAGAAAATGATGAAAGTATTCAAATTTAACAATATGGTACTTGAGATTGAACATAACTCGTACGGAGAAATATTTATAACATTAAAATCATCATAGTCAGGACAAGAAATCGGAAAAGTGAAGTTCTAGAAGCAAAGCATATAACATTTGAGTTAAAGGTGTTTCATAGGTGATTCGACCCTGCAAAATCAGAAAATGCTTGTAACCAACTCGAAATCCTAACCGGAAATGACATATTCAAGATGGCGGCCTATTTTTTGCAGTTTTTTGCATATATCTTGAAAACTATAAGGTTTAGCGCAAAAATTGTGCTATACAAAATCAATCTATATTGAATTTTGAAGAAAAATAGTCACACACTTTTTTCTCAAAATGAACAGTGACGGAGATATGGAAAGTAAGAAGATTTTAATTTCGAATCATGTTGAAAAATTTTGTTTGTAATAATAATCATGACAATAGAATTATATATATCTGTAAGTGACTCAAAAATCTCACAATAAAATGTGTACACTGAGTATATGACGATGTATATATCTCATAAGCATTACTTATATATATGCAAGCGAGCAAGCAATCCTGAACCTGAAATGAAGAGTTGACAAATGCTTTGTTCACTTCCTTATCGTCCATTGACTGTGGAAGGAGGAACAAGGAAAAAGAGAGGAAAGGAATTTCCGCCTGTTCGAAGGGTCATCAGTAACTGTAACTCTCAATGCCTGAGAACGAAGCGGATTTCGAAAGGTTTCTGTCAGAAGAAGCTTTGAAGTATGACTTTGAGTCACTGGAAGTCGTGCTCTCAGGTGGATTCGAAGATGAGTCTCGAGTAGAATCCACTGTCAAGGATCGTGACCTCATCCACCTTAGAGCGACACATGAGAAAACTGACACAAGGTTGGTTCTTCATACAGTTCTGGCAGACGCCGAAAATGTTGTTGTTTCGGTCAGGGATACCGATGTTATTTTGCTTTCCTTGCACTACTTCTCGAAAATGAAATGTTCAAAGGTGTGGATCATGAGTGGTACAGCAATAGATCGCAGATTCATGCCAATCCATGACGTCTGTGATAGATTGGCACCTGGGCAAGTCATTCCATGCCATTACTGGATGTGACAGCACATCGAGGACTTCCCTCATCACAAAAAAAGCAGCATGGAAGGAGATGATGCTTGTTCACTTCTAGAAGGTCTTGGGTCAACCCCTCTAAGTGATCAAGTGATTGCAAAAGTAGAGAAATTCGTCGTTCAACTGTACAATGTACATAGATGTCTGTCAAAAGAGAATCTCTCTCTCCATTTTTTTCTATGTCATATTTTGTTTCCCTACAAGTTAGTCCAGAAATTGAATCAGGCGATGCTACTCGGAGATTTTTGTTTGGAGCTGTAAGGAAACCCGAGAATTTGCCTCCAACCTCCGATGCTCTACGCCTGCATATTGAGAGGTGTCACTACCAAGTGAGTAGGTTGGATATGGAGATGGCATGGCATATTCATATATGAAACTCACGGGCTTTTCTTCTCTCTCGTAGGTGTGCGTTTGGGAGAGCACCCATATCGCCAAACCAAACATACAGTTTGATGTTCGAATAACGATCATAGGTCATTGAAAGCAAAAAAATGTCAGCAGAGTCGAATTAGCTAGGAAACACATTTCACTCAAATGTTATTTAATTCACTTCTAAAACTTGATTTTTTCGATTTCTTGTCCTGACTTATATGTATAAATAATTTTTATCAGCTACATACATCGTTTTGTACATAGTGTACATACCTTTTCATCATATTTTTGAGTGAGTGAGTGGCTCAATTATTTATAATTATATTTCGAGATATCTCAAAATTGGAATGTTCTTCCCTGCCATCTCTGCGCCACTGTTCATTTTCAGGAAAAACTTGTAGTGAACTTTTTCCTTCAAAATTCAGTGCAGAATATTTATGTATTGAACAATTTGTGTGCTAAACCCCATAGTTTTCAAGATATATGCAAAAAACTGCGAAAAATAGGCCGCCATTTTGAATATCTCACTTCCGGTCAAGATTTCGAGTTGGTAACAAGCATTTTTGGATTCAACAGAGTTGAATAACTCATGAAACACCTTCTACTCAAATGTTATATGATTTGCTTCTAGACTCGTAACGGAAGCCTTTTTCTCGAATCGAGTCCTGACCATCTGGTCACATATAAAATAACCAGTCCAGTCCAGGACTGATAATTAAATTCGAAACGGCGTAGAAACCAGAATAACCTGACCAGGAGAAGGTTCAACGTCGGGAGAAACTTCGTGAAATTCATCTCATAGTTTGCAAATAATGTCCCAAAACCTTAACATTAATTCCATCTTCTATAAACCCTCCTCTTACTTGAAATATTCATTATTCAATGATGAAAAAATCCTCTTGATGAGAAATCTGGTGTGTATAGCCTCAATTGCAGTGATGGTAATTTATCATCATTGGTCAGACAGGAAGGAGTTCTATAAATTGTAAGTAATTACTAGGGATTGAGTCGTGAAACCGTTTCGCCCACAGCCATGGGCTTTGTCAATTCAATGAACAATCTCAACCAAATTCATATTTTCCATTTGTTGTATTGTATCGTACATTCAAAATTTTGAATATAATTTTGTATCAAACCTCGTGGTTACTTACAATATATTATAACCTGAATCCAAACCCTGAAAAGAAGGCGTTAATCAAATAGATATTCAAGATTCGAAAAAAACCTTCATCAAATAAAAATATTTGTGTTCTTGAAAATGTACATCTATAATACTATCAATCTGTTTCAATGAATTTCCGATTGATAACCGTTAGTGAATACAGCACTTATCATTACTGACCCATACACTAGTCATAAGTGACCCATTCACTTGTCATCAGTGACTTGTTCACTTGTCACTGAGATAACTCTTTTGCTGCTGGGAACCTGATTTTCTTTGAGCTATTTTTGTAGAACATTTTGTTGGCTTGACCACTTTCATAAACTATTTGACGTATTTGTCCCCCTGCTAACTCTATTCCAATTGCTCTTGTATATGCAGATTGAAAGTTGAATGTAGCTTCTGAGAGTTATTTTTTGTTGATAATACTCGACTTCAACCCACAGACTGACCTATCTCGTAGAGACTCATTGAGAAAACCTATAAATCCACAGAAATCTGCTCAATTCTTCAATCCAGCTTCAAAAGATCTATCTTCATCAGTTTCCTTTATAGAACTAGGTAATATTCATCTGCAAATACTTATCTCTTCGAGTGATATTTCATCACTTTCTAACATCAGCTCATCATAAGTTTTTGTACTTGGTGAGTTAGGTGCTGAGAGATTCATCATATGCTCCAGCTCCTATCAGTGTAATCGACAGGGCTCTCTCAGCCTCGGTGATATAATTTCACATGAAAAGTAGTTCCAGTCTCTTCAGGTAAGATGATAATTCACATTCCTTAGTATTATAAAGCATTCAATCTGACCAATAAATGACATTTTGTAGACTTACTTCGACTATCAGACTCAGACTTTCTGATTGCAGACTATATTTATGTTCAATCCATAGCAAGACTTGACGACTCAACTATATTTTTTATATCATCAACTTGGTGACAGTAGACACTAGACTAGACTTGTTATACGACGCTATACCTATAGTGGAGTATACTACGGCCGTGCCAAAAATGCTATCTCGGAAACTAAGCGAGATAGAGGTATAGTTGCTTTGGAGAAAATGATCCCCATCGAATTTTGAGCAACTTTGGTTTTTGTGTGTGGTCTGTCTGTCTGTCTGTCTGTACTCTGTGTTAATCATAAATCGATATATCTCCGGAACCCTTTGACATATCGACTTGAAATTATGCCATCTTATTGTACTCAAAACAATATTATGCCATTAAAATATGAAGGAAATCGGAAAACTCTAAGGTGGTTTTTCCGGGTTTTTTCGATTTTTCACCGGAAGTTCCTTGTAACCACTCTACAAATCGCAAAAGTGGTCCGATCGATTTCATTTTTTGTGAAAAAAACCTCTATCAGGAAGAGACGAAGCCTATTGAAATTGAGCAGGGTCGGAAAATTCCAAGTGGGTTTTTCAAGGAGATTTTCCGAAAAACACGGTTCGCTTTAAAACGACATATTGCGTGAACAAATAGACTAAATCCAAATTTGAGAAATGCACCGTATGCCTCTTTGATGACGCAACAAATTATCATTCAATAATTTTTTCGTGCATCCATCGGAAACTGGAAAAACAAATGAAAACCCAAACATCAAAATTTGAAATCCGTTTAATTCAATATATATCGAAAACAAATGGAGAAATCGAAAATTATCAAGAGTGCAATGTTATCCACTGGAACATTCCCTACAAATCATTTTCCATATTTTTTTCTGTAAACCCAATAGTACAGGAAATAAAGTGAAAAATATGAAAAAAAAAATTTTAACGACCCATAGGGTACTATGAAGATATATTGAAAAACATAGATTATCGATAGATGGAGCTCATCGACTTCCACTGAACCAGGAAATATTTTTTCATTTTGTTGATTGGAAGATGGAACAAAAGTGTTGAAAATTTTATTCTCAGATAATTCCAAATATCTCGAAAACAACTGAAAATATATGAAAATGTTATGGAACCAAAATTATTCCTTTTGATAGAATCTACAAAAAATCCCTATAACATTTTTCTCTGAATTCAATAGTTCGGGAGATACGATGAAAAAACTAAAAAATTTACAAGTTCCTAGATAATCACTTGCCAATAGAAAACGAAACAAAAAACAAAAGGAAGTAAAAAAAGCACACTCGACTGTCTTGATTTTTATTTTCCATGAACTACGTACCTAGCTCACTCTACTGTCTTAATTTTTGCCAATAAACTAGGTACGGGCTAAGTACGTAGTTTGTACGAAAAATCTCCAGTTCTCTGAACTTTCATAGCGTCGTATACACATCATTGGTGCCCAATGATAGTTTCAATATAGAAATATGCTCATGATATGGTGCCATGGCCTCAACTTCCATCTTACATGAGCAATGATAAAATATCATCTGCTTTTATAACGTCGTATAAATTATCTGACCTTTATACTAATCTGATACCTTTCAAAAACTACGTACCTCACTTGTTTTGTAATTATTGCACTTGAAATTTGCACTGCACTGGACTTTGCATTTGACTAGGTGACTGTGGCTGATTTTCACTCGCACTTGAATACCCTTGTCTCTTGAGGTCTTGAGTTTCAATAACTTGAGACGAGAGTGTTGGTTTATTTTCACTGCTCGTCGCCAAATCATCTAGTGTATTAATATGGACACAAGATACTCCGAACAACAAACACTTCATTATTACCAAATCAACAATACAACCATCAGACATCATCACAGGGTTGCACACGAAATCCTGAATAACGATGACAACTAACTGACTTATGACAGTTCACCTCAAGATCGTCAATAGCTGAAGCTAGGGTTTCTTGATGGAAATTGACGTTAAAGTCATCTTAACAGGGTACGGACAGATCATAGCTGCATTCTTTTTCAATGATCTAGAGACTTTAGTTTTGTCTAGAGTCACTGGATGGTATTAGTTTGATAAGAGTTCGGACACAGAAATGACAACTGTTAGGGTTTTTGAATGTTTAGATTTATCAAGTTACACACCTTGCATTGTGACAATAGCACCATAGTCGCCCCGCGCTTTTTATTTAAAATTGTTTGAATTTGACAATACATTTTATAAACGTCAGAATTGAAATAAATTTCAAAATTATACTTTCGAGAAAGAAGCAGTTATGGAAATCACTTGTTGTGTGATGAATTGTACCAATTCTGAAAAGAATGGATTTCATTTATTCAACTTTCCTAAACAAATTTCAACCATTCGCTCATGGAAGGAAGAAATGAAACGGCCTAGGTGGAAAATCAATTTGGAGACGAGCAAAATTTGTGAGGTACTCATTCAAATTCACTTCTTATAACAGCATCTGATTAGAATAAAACTATATTTTAGGCCCATTTTAAAATAGAAGATTTCAAAATCTGTTTGAGAGAATCTGCTATTCCATCAATTCACAAAGCAGACGATTTCAAGAACAAAATCCCATTATTATCACCGCC